AATTTGTCCCCGGGAAAAGATGCTTCAAGTATTTAGAAGTGTTGCTGATTTATATCTGTAGGTTTTCCTAATCTGTATTATCGTTTAACGTATTGCGAAAAAAACCCGACTTTATCAAATTGCAGGTTTCTTGAAATTCTCGAAAAATTGAACTAGTGGTTAGGAGGTCATCTACCACAACTTACCTGAGGTCCAACTCACCGTTCTGAAGTTAGATTAGTATAGTCCGCGGAATTAACACGCGGAACTACTTACTCCCAGCAGCCGTGGAAAACAACTTAGACTACATTTTTTCCATTTTGCACTTACTTCTAAAAATTTCCTTCACTTCCTATCCTATTTCTCCACCCCCAAAATCCCTTTAGCTATCGCTTCCGTAGGACAGAATACTAGGACTAGGGCTATATGAGGTACACTACATAAGCTACTTTTGCCTCAACGTTTAAGTGGACGTATATGTCTTTATAACGAAATTATCATACGACTGATCCACAAGCTGACTCGAGCAGGACAACCTTAACCAATTGTGAACACAAGTTGGCGCTCACTGAGCTTCATACTTTGATTTTTCTGCATCAAAATAAAGTTTTGTTATAAGTCTACCCCGGGCGGGAGAACGTTTGCGTGAATAAACAAATTTTTCCAACGCGCGCACGCGGTTGTCTGCAATTTCGCTGCTCGCTTAAACACTGCATTAGTTGACCAAAGCCGCTTTCCATATGTGACTTCAGGCGGCTACTCCGAGTCTCATTTGCAACCAAAAAAGTACACTGCACTTCAAAGGAAGCAATAAAATTTCCCGCGCGCTCATCCCCGGGCATACACGTTTGACACACACAGGCAAATTGCAGTCGATGATCGGTCTCAAATCCGCTTTGTTGGTAGATGAAGAAATTATATGCTGTGCATAAAATGTTGAAGCAAATGGGACACACAAATCCTCTGTGTGTGCTTTAAACGCGGTGTCCAATGCTTTTCATGTGCGACAGTTTACTGACTACATGTCTCAACGGCAACTTCGCTCAACCGATACTTCTGATTTGTTAATCCTTTTCACTATCTGCAATAATAGCTGAGCATGCATACAAAGTACTGGTCTTATTAGAAAGATGTACGCTGCTGGAATTTTAACGTATCCTCTGAACTAAACGGAGACTGGGGGGTTTTATGTACTCATTTAATTGTCACTGCACATTGCCATACCACAAAATCGTAATGCTGTAAAAAAATTCCTGGCGGGCGGTCTCATTGAGTATTCGTTTAACTTTTAAGTTTTGGAAGTGTTTACGTCTTAAGTTAGAACAGTTTACGCAATTAGCAGGACACACGTTCGTTTTCAGGAGGCCGCCGAAGGAAAAAAATCGATAAGAATGCAATATGGCACAAAGGAGAGGTCAGCGTAAAACAATACGACCTTATTACACGCTAATCTGGCCACAACTCTATTCACTGTGTTAGTTATGTTTAGGCACGCCCTCCACCGTCACGAGCTTTGTTACACTGTCTTCGATCAAGCGCCACAGTCTACCTGGAGGCGCCGAAGAGGTGGACAACTCAAGACTTGGCTCGACACCGTTCGTCAAGACATGGAAGCGGTTCCTTAACATTCGATT